GTACGAGATATATATATATATATATATATATATGTTTGTATGTTCGTGTATCGCGCCACAAGAAAGTATCCTGTGCGTTTGCTCTCCCCTTTTCTCTTTCGCTCTTCTTTCTTTTGCGGCTTGCGCGAAACGTTTGCGGTGTGGTTGAAAGGCGTGTACGTGCGTGTGTGTGTATGTGAGTATTACTGTGCGTGCCTATATGTGAAGGGGGGCGGGAAGAGCCCTGCTAAGCCGTAACGTGAGGTGTGCTGTATTCGCTTCTCTGTATCGGAGCGCAATGGGCACAGACCACCGCAAAACAGAAAAAAAGACAGTGAAAAGGAACGAAGTACTCAACCTCAATCTGAAAAAGAACGGATTAGGTTAAATATTATATATATATATATATATATATATTGTAAGTTATGTGTATATATATAGATGTAATGTAGCTGCTACGCGGGCTCTTGCGTCGGACTACGTTGCAACGTCTTTCTAGGCAAATGTGTATGCGTGTGCGTTTAGGTTCTATGAGGGAGAAAGTGCGTGTTTGTGTGAATTACATGAATTATAAAACGGCGCTACTCGCAATCAAGGGAGATCCCGATGACCTCCAACTTTTTTAAAAGGAAAATACAAAGACCGATAAAGAGAATTTGAATGAGAAATCGTTTACTCCTCAGTGGTGTCAGTCGTCTATGGAACCGTTGCGGGAAAAGAAGTCCTGCAGGTGTTCTATGTCTGTTGTTGGTTGCGTGTGAATGAGCGTGTTGGTTCGCACAAGTTAACCTTCAAAAAGGCAAGTGCTGCGAAGGAGAAAAAAAAAGGCTTATGCGCCGATCAGCCTGTCCACCTCACACGCAGTTCAGAAAATAATTAATAAGAGTAAAAATCAGCAATAACAACACAGTAGCTGCGTGCCCAGGGGAGAGGATGGCGGAGATCCCCCTTTTATTGAGATCTGGCACAGTGCGTTTGCGAGCAGGTAGGTAGACCGCGGGGCAAATGCCAGTGATGACCGGTGCGGTAATGCGTGAGTGCCAAAGATGAAAACAGCCGACAAAGGACGGAGACAAAGAGAAGGAAGAAGGGAGGGGGAGGATTGTATGAACCACAGCAGTACGCACTACTGGCGGAGAAAAGGGAAAGAGGGGCACCATCGAAACTAGATACAACAGCAGCAAAAAACCCTGTACCCTGGTGCAGGCACCTCCCGCAAAACATGCCGTCGAAGAAGAAGTGCATCCCACTTCTGCTCTCTGTGATACCATACGATTCTAGACACTCACGGAACGATAAGCAGGCAACGAAAAGAAGGCGATATACACACGCACACACACCCACACAGCATCAGCAACAGCAAAAAGAATTGCCGTAGCCATCATACAAAAGAGGAATAATAGAAATACAAATAAAGAAGAACACCTCACAAAACGCAGGGGCCACACCCACACACAGCAAACTAACAAACAAAAACCCAGAAGGAAGCGAGAAGCGAAGAGGGTTTCGCTTTCCTTTTCCCACCAATCCTGTCACGACGAGGCGTCACTGGTTCTCGAGGCACTGCGCCACGACGACAACGCCGGCGAGGCAGACACCCACGATCAGCATCGGCCACAGAAACAACACTAGAATCGCCTCCCACGACGAAAACGCACCGATAACGTTGAAAAGTAGAAGGGGGCCGATGGGGAGCCGGTTTGTCCGCAGCGCCGTGCCCACACACGTCGCCACCTCCATGAGCACCGCGCTCGCTAAGGCCTTTGCATCCACGTCGCCGTGGCCTTCCGGGGGCGCGGTGACGGTCGCGCCGTCCTCCGCGTTCTCTGTCGCGCTGAGCCAGCGAAGCGCGTGATCGATCGAGCGCAGGTGCTCGCGGTCGGTCAGGGTAATGACGCGGCCTTGCTGCTCCGTCGTCCACGGGTAGGCCAGCACACTGATCATAAACAACGGCGCGCCCCACCACACGCGCTCCGCTGACACCCACCCGCTCTCTCCGGCAAACCAGTAAAAGGCAGAAGTCGAATGCTGGGGGTGTGGATGCCGGGCGGCGCAGTACTGCAGGGTCGAAGACAGCGTCTCCCCCGCCAAGTAGCACAGCGCACTGGCCCACGCAGCGTATCCGTAGACCACCACGAGAATGCCAAGGCAGCACGCCGTCAGCTGCGGATCGCGCCACATCAACAGATCCACCACCCGCATTAGTAGCACGTCAAAGAAGTGCGCAATGACGGTGGTCTCCGGGCTGTCGGAGGGGTGATAGTACTCGTCGCTGATGCGGACGTGCCGGCGGCTGGCAACGGACCGCGCGCTGGAATGCTCCGGCGTCACATCGCCGGCCCTGCGCGAGTGCGGGGCAGACAGGCTTACGCTTAGCGAGGACGGCGCGGCGGCGGACCTGTTTAACAAGACGCTGTCGTCTAACGACGGCGATGTCGGTATGGATGCGTCGCGGCTCATCGTTGTCGTCGTCGCGGTGGTGCGTTGTTCAATACCTTGCTCCGCGCACAACACCGCAACGCGGCCGTAGGTGCGACGCCAGCGTTCGAGGAAAGGCACCGCCGCAGCGGCCGCGCCGCCGTCGCCGCCACGGGCACGTAAGACCGTAGGGGAGGCCAAGGTGGGGGAGCCGTTGGATAAGATGTTGAGCTCCGCCTCTTCGGACTCCCACGCCTCCAGCAGCAGCCCCCACACCTCCAAAATGCCGCTCAGCTGCGACGACGTGGCCACCGTGAAGCGCTCCATCGGTCCGGCGGAGGAGCTGCCGAAAGGGGAGAAGAAGAAGAAGTTCGTGGCGGTCGTGCCGTCGGATCGCTCACTGCCGTCCTCACCCCGCGACCACCAGTTGAGCAGTGAGTCCACGATGCCTTCCTTGCGATCAGGCGAAGAAGAAGTGGAGGTGGAAGAGGCCGCGAAGGTGGCCGTAGCACCCCCCGCAGGGGACGACGCATGCACCGCGCCGTTCCCACTCGTTCTGCGCTTCGGGTTGCTGCTGCTGCGTCGCTCCACGGCATTGCGGGGGTACAGCGAGGACGTGCCGCCGGCCGGCGAAGAGGAGGAAGGAGAGGCTGCTGCTGCTGCTGCTGCTGCTGCCGATGAAGGCGAAGGGGCATCGTTAAAGTCGCTGGAGTGAGTGGGGTAGATAATACGAAATGGAAAGAGGTCTTCCGCGACGTAGAACCAACGGTGGCGCAGCTTCGTGTTTTTACTCAGGCCTTCCTCGGTGCGCTTCTACACGCAGAATCGGCCGTAGGACGTGGCGATGTTCCTCCAGGAGTTGTGCGAGCGCGTCGCGACGGGATCGCGCAGGAGGCCCATTGCAGCGGCGTTGTTGCTGCAGGTTCGTGTATTATTTAAAGATGTCTGTGCGTGTGTGTGCATGGTGGGAGAGTGTCGGAGCGCGGTGGAGACAGTTTTGGGTGGCACTAACACCAGGTGATAGAAATGCAGGCGAGCAAACGATAATTAAAAAAAAAAAACAATGAGATGGAGAAGGAAGACGAAATGAAAGGCCTTTCTAACAAAACACACCCTCCCACACACACAGGAGGAGAAAGACAAGCGTAAGCCAAATCCCGGGAAGCTTCTTTTCCCTCTATACGGGGACCGATTTAACATCCTCCTTCATTCGGCCTGGGAGGAGGGGAGGGCTTCGTTGCGCGTCTACCGCCGTTCCATAAGGAAGGTGTCGCGCCGAAGTAACAACGGCTCTCCTTATTATTATTATTATACGTTTCTGACTTCGCTCCACTCGTGTTTTACCCTTCCATGTGCTCCTTTTGGCAAAGATGTTGCTCCTCCTCCGAAGAGGGAAAAGAGCGTTACGCAAGGCGAAACAAAGCCTACGAAGGAAGCACAACGGCAGCGGGATGCGCATTGACTACATCGGTATGAAAAACACGGGAGAAAGCCCCCGTTGAAGTCCCTCTTTAGAACTTCACTTCCATGTGTTTAGAAAACACAGCAGACACAAAGACAAGAAAATAAGCGGACGAACAGCTGCCCCCCCGAAAGAGAAAAAAAAGAAGAGCTCGTATTTATACATATAATAGTAGTAATAGTATTAGTGATAAAGCCCGCAATGCACGCGGCGGCGAGGGCGGAACCACCAGGCGGGCTCCCATCGAAATATACATCATCCAAATAGTTTTACGAGCCAGAATACATAATTTACATCGCTGAAGGCGGCGCACAGGTGTGCCGCTAAGACACCAACAAGCAAACAACATAGTAGTGTCATCATGGGCAACCACACCCCACTTCAGAGGTCGTGTCACCGCCCCGCTCGCCCGGCCCGCGCGACCGCCGGCACATCTGGGCTGGGCGCTGCATCTCTGCCAGGAGCATCCTGCGCGGACTGCGACTGCGCCAGCAACGCACCGAGCCCCGCCACCGTGTGCGTCAGCGGCCGCAGCAGCGAGCGCCGCAGAAAGATGGCCAGTCGCTCCTCAAACGGCACAAACACGTTCGGCTGCTTAAAGCCGCACAACACACACATCAGGTCGCAGAAACCTTCGAAGGTGAGCACGAAGGCGCGTTTGCGCTGCGCCGCCGCTGCGGCAGAGTTGTCGACGGCCGAGCTGGGGTCCACGATGCGCACGGCACGGTAGCCTGGCTTTCGTGTGGTCGCGACCGCGGCGGCGTCCGGCCGCATGCGACCATCCACGTCGCGGCGCATGCCGACGGCCACCTCCTCGTTGGCGTGCCGCAGCACGCTGCAGCTCGCGAAGAGGTCGAATACCAAGTACTGCGTTAGCTCTGCATTCGTCAGCATGGCATCGCGCAGCAGCCGCAGCAGATCCTCCCGCAGCAGACCTTCGACTCCAAAGATGTCCCTGCTGTAGGCTTGGAAAACAAGCAGGAGGGCCGGCGCGTGTCGGTGCAGGACCATCTGCGTGGGCAGGCCGCACGTGAGGCGGCGCAGAATACTGCGTGGGTCGTTCGGCCGAAGTGCGACGAGGGGGCTGGTCAGGACGACGCAGCGCATCATCTCCGCAAAGGCCATGGGCAGGGAGCAGTACTGAAGAGCGAAGGAGTTGGGCGGGGCGTCCGTCGGGTCCAAGACGGCGGCGTTGCCATCCTTCGGCGTGGCGACCTTCTCCGCCTTTCTGTTGCTGTCGTCGTGGCGCGGCACCACGAGCGGGGTGTTCGACACGGCGACGATACGGGGAACGTACGAGCCGGGGAAAAGCACATCTGCCAGCAGCGCGAGGGCCAGCACAAAGGCGGCGTACGTCATATCGATTTGAATGTCCGGCACCGCCACGTGATCGCCCGTGCCGTGCGGGGCGCGTAGCAGTCTGCCGCTGCTGTCGACACCGAAGTTGTTGAGCTCCGCGCTGGCGCCGGACTGCAGCGGCGCGAGGGCAGAGGTGCCTAACACGTACTCCATCGAAACATTTGCCCGCAGCGGCTGCTGCTGTGATGAGGGCAGTTCGTGCAGGTGCTGACCGCGCGGCAAGGTGCTGAACACGGAAGGGTCCACCTCATCGCGCTCCTGCGCCACCGCCATGACGGCCTTTTGGAAAATCACCGTCACGATCTCGATGTCCAACGCGTTTCGCTGCATCATCGACAAGGCGGAGGCGATGGGCAGGCTGAGCTGCTTCGGCGCTTCACTCGGACCACCGCCACCACCACCACCACCGCCGCCGTCAGCCTCGTCGTCCTCCAGGCTGGAGAGGTCGATGAGACCCAGATCCCCACACAGCAACCGCCAGCCGCCGAGGTCGAGGATGGGAAGGGCGAGCTGCGGGGAAAGCGTGGCCCGCTGGGTGAAGAGAGACAACAAATCCTCTTGCCACACACTCGTCACGGCCTCTAAGAGGGCGCGAATTTCGTCCTGCGCCGGGCCCGGCGTGTACAACGGAGACGACGTTGCAGCGGGGGACAGCGCGGAGGGAGCCCCTCTGCGCAGGGGGGAGTTGACGGGCGAGCCAGCGGCAACGGCAGCCGCAGCGGCACCCTCAAATTGTTTCTGACGGGCATCGATGCGGCGCCGTACGAGGGGGAAGTCCAAGCACAGCAGCTCCTGACCATCCTGCCGCAGTCCCAGCTGCAGCGCCGCCGGGGATGCGTTTGGCCCCGTGAAGACACCGCGACTGAGTCCACTGTAGGTGCGGACTGGCACCAAGCAGCTCAGCGTCACGTGCCAGCGGTGCAGCTGCAAGGAGCGGTGGAGGGCCATGGCGAGGGCGCCGAGCATCGCCGCCAGCTCTGGCGTGTCGAACGCCTCCGCCGGCCAGAAGCCGCCACGGAGAAGAAAGGGGTGGGCCTGGGTGCCGAAGACGGGCAAGCAGCGCTCACGGAACAGCTGCCACGGCGTCTTGTCTTCCGGCGCCAGCTGCCGCAGCATTTCCGCCTCAATGGAGAAGGTGCCCTCCGCCGCCGCTTCTGCTGCTGCTTTGTCGTTCGCCGCGTCCACCGACGGTGAACGCCGGGCGGCCGCGTTGCCCTCCTCCTCCGCCCCCGTCTTGTGTGCGTCCGCGTCCTTCCCTCCTCCTCCTCCTCCTGCCCTCTCCTCCTCGTCCTCCCCTGTTTGCACAAACGAAATCAGCGACGCATCCGAGTGACCGCTGTCTCGGCGCTCCCGACCGCCCTCCTCCCGCGGTCCGGCCAACTCCTCAGCCGTCGCGTCCCCGTTGCTCCACAGCTGCAGCAGCATCCGTCGCTCCTGCTTGGCGCTGCGGCGGCTTTTGTGATGGAAGGGGTGGGCAAAGCGGACGTAGAGAAGGGCGATGAGCGTGACGACGGCGCTCGATTCGCCGCGTGCGAGGGCGTACGGGTCCACGACGGAGTGGAGGGGAATGGGAACGGCCGGCTGCGAGGATGGCGGCGTGGGCACCGCCGCCGTAGAAGACGACAAAGTAGTGCTGGCTGCTGCTGCGGCCACCTCTTTCCCTTTCTTTTCAGCCGTGTCGCCGGCCTTTTCCGCTGTGACAGCCGCTGCCTTGTCCTTGACGGTACTCGTGTTGGTGTTCGTCACTGTCACCGTTGTCGTGCTCATGGCGGCGGACACGTATTCCAAGGGGTTCGCGTCGCCTGAGAGACTCACCGGATCCCCCGCCTGACTCGTCATAAGCTCCGTCGCAAAAGCCAGCAGCTGCAGCATGCGATCCACCGGGGACTGGGCCAGAATATCCTTGAAGCAGTCCTCGTACACGGGGTAGGGCGGGTCGAGCTGCACGCCCTGCCCCTCCAGCAGCTGCCGCCGCGGGTCCATTCCGGTCCAGTTGCCGATCGCCGCCTGGCTCTCCTCCGCGTCTTGCATCATGGCGTTCGCCTTCGAGACGTCGACCGAGGCGGCTGCGGCCGACGTCTGGGCACGGTAGCGAGGCAGGGCCAGGTAGTACAGCAGGCGGCTGATGAGGATCCCGTTGCGAATCTCCTCCCCGAAGCTGCCGAAGCGGGCCGAGAGGGCACCGCCGTGGAGGTCGTCGAGGAGCTGCAGGTCATCGAGGCAGCTGTTCGCCCAGTCCACCAGTATGACGCGTGCCTCGGGCAGCTGCTTGGTGGAGTGCAGCACAATCGGCGCGATGCGGCCAAAAAGACGGTCCTCCTCGTTCGGCGCATCGACCGGCACGGTGGGGCTGGCCGTCGCCACCGTTGACGACGTGGTGGTCTGCTGTTGCTGTTGCTGCTGCTGCGCGGCTTGATCGCTGGTGTCGCTTACCTTGGCTAATCCATCCGATGCCGTCTGCGCACCACCAGCACCAGCACCGGCGCGCTGCGCGACCTCCGTCTCTGAGAAGCCAAACCGATCCTGACGGACCCGCACCTCATCGGACCGCTCAGACGCTGCTGTCGAGACGGCGCAAATGTCTCCCACCAGCCGCATCACCTCCTGCTGCCACGGCCGATGCCGGTGTGCGCGCAGCCGCGAGCGCAGCTGGCGTATCTGCCGATTCTTTGAGGTAATGATCGCGTTGCTCTTTTGCGCCGCGTTGCACGCCTCCAGTTTCTCGCGCGCCAGACGCAGCGTGATATCCGTCAGTTCGGTGTTGCGCTGCCGCAGACCGTTGTTGCTGGCCTCCGCCTTCCGCAGGCGTCGCGAGTGCACGGCGAGCTCCCTGCGCAGGTACGTGTTCACCTCCTCCATCTCTTGCAGCTTCGCCATCATGGTAAAAAAGATCGTGGGCGGCGCTGCGGTGGTGACGGCCGTCGTTGTCATTTCAGCTTCGTCTGTGCGCGCCGACACTGCGGCGGAGTCGTTGCCGACGTCAACAAACGTGGGAGACGCGCCATCGTCCATAGACCGGGGTGCTTCGAGGTACATGAGTGACGTCCCGCCACCGCTTCGGATGCTCGCCGCGCTGGCCGCGAGGCCAAACTTCTTGATGCGAGGTCCCTTAATATCGTCCTCCTCTCCGGCCTCCGCTGCCGCCGCGAAGTCCGCGTCCACCTCCTCCATGTCGCTGTCGGAGTTGCGGACCACAAATCGTTCCACCGCCATCTCGGCCCCCTCCACAGCGGCGTCTGCGCCGAGTGGTGCGTCGGAGGGTGGGGATGCTGGGCGGGAGCTGCTTGCCCGCTGGCGCAGAAAAGAAAGGTACACCCGGCTGTGCCCCGCGCCCTTCTTCTTGCAGCTCATGGAGGAGTGGCGGTGGTGGTGGGTGGCCATCGAGTTGGAGAAAGGGAGGGAGCGGGCACTACTGGCGACGTTGATGCCGTCGTGGCCCCGCACTGGCCCCGTCACCCCTGCCGGGCGAGAGGTGAGGAGAGCGGGCGGCGAGGTCCACGTGAGAAATCCCGCAGGAGGACTGCTAGCAACGCCGGTGGATATCTTCGACACCCCATCTAATCCCGCCGTCGCCTGCGAGCCCGAGAGAAACCGCAGGTAATCCGTCTCCATCCTCGTCTCCAGCCGCTGCTGCTGCCGACACCGCATGCGTCGCTGCCACTGCGCGAAGCAGCACTGCCGCCGCAGCTGACCCTGCAGATGATCGAAGACGCCTTCCAAAGCGACACACTGAGCCACCCGTTGCCGCTCCCGCGCGACACTACGCAACCACGACCGCATCGTCCAGCTACGTACGACGGCCTCCAAGTAGCGCGTGTCGCCCTGTGCCTGGGCGGCCGCCACGACGACGTCGCGCTGCCGCTGGATGCGAAGGGGCAGGGTGGAGAGGTGGGTGACCTGCTCGCTGAGGCCGCCCATTTGCGGCCGAACTGCCAACCACGCAGGGTAGTCGAGATACACGTGCGGGAGGATGTAATGATGCAGGAGGTGCTTGGCGAAGGTCATGCCGGGCGTACACGGCTCCGCCTGCTCGATGATGCGGGCGAGTAGGGTGGCACCGACGGCCGTTTCCAAGCGGAGGACGGGAGGGGGAACGAGGGAGTCGGGCGGCAGCGTGATGATGGACGGAGTGGTCAGCACCGAAGACGCCGTCTGCGTCTCGTGGACGAGTACGTTTTCGGCGCGCAGAGTTGTGTGGAGCACCTCCGCCCGTTCCTCGTGGGAGAGTTCATCGACTTCCTCCTCACGCTTCCCTTCTGTATCGTCGCCGCCCCCATCTCCAGCGTCGTCCCCGTCGTGCTCCGTCAGCAGCGGCTGCGACGTCGGTGTGAGACTCAGCTGCGCCTCCACAAAGGAGACCGTAGATTGGTGCAGGATGAGCTGCACCGCCCGCATCAGCGGCTCCATCTTTCCAGCCGGCACGAAGGTGTTCGCCGGGGTGCTGCTGATGATGCCGCGCGCGTGCGTCTCCGAGCGCTGCTGTTGCCAGTAGGCCTCCTCGGCTGTCAAGCTGCTACGCACGGCGTTCTCCAGCACGTGGGCCAGCTCCCGGAAGAGGGCATTCGTGTGGCGGTGCTGCAGCCGCACGCCGAGCCGCTCGCGCCACCAGTGATGCAGCACCTCCGTCTCCACGGGTGCGAGCGCAGACGCCGCCACCACCGTCGTCGTCTTGCGTGGAGTTTTGGACGGCGTCGCGGTGGCCGTGACTATCGCATCGCGTGCTGCGGTGGCGGTGTCGCGTGTCCAGCGGGACAGCTCCTGCGCCTCAGCTGAGCTGAGGTTCGGTGCCACAATGGTGCCCGATGATGGCGCAAGAAACCGCCGTGCATCTTCTGTCGGCGCCGTGGCCTCAGCGCAGAGCGGAGGACGAGACACGTTTACCACCACGCCGGCCGTGTCGATTGCTGTTGCGACTGCGTCGGGATCTGCGGCAGCTTCACACGCCGGCGTCGTGCTCTCCACCAGGCTGCGCGAGGCGACGGCTGCTGGCACCAACGCTGCGTACACACACGGAGTGGCGGCTCTCGGGACGTGAATCGCACCGATGCCTTCCCTTTTATCGTCTTCTCCTGCTCCCCTGCGTCTGTGTGGGACGGGGTACGAAGCAGAGTGTGCAGTTGCGCCTGTTGCTGCTGCTGCTGCGTGTCTCAACTGGGCATCGCCGCCTACTACCTTCGAGTGGGGTCGGGGAACAGTCGCTTTGCTCGAAGCACCCAACAGCATCGGCAGCGGGGGCGGGGGAGGAGCGTGGGAGGGGCCTGGCGCTGAGGCAGGCGCCGAGGCAGAGAAGGGAGAGACGGTGCCGACGTATCCGAGGGGGCGCAGCCGGAAAGCCGTCACGTCGTCAGGGGTAAAGGACGACACGGCTTGCGACTGCGACCGCGGTGGCGGCCGTGACGGATGCGCTGGCATTCTCCGAAAGACCTGTGAAGGCGCTTGTGCGAAGGCGGTGGTATCAAACTGGCAAAGAGAGAGAGAGAGAGAAAACGGAAAAGAACAGAAGGCGACAGAATGGAAGAAGAAAGGCGCTCGCGAAAAGATCAGAGAAGAGCAGCAGCTGCAAAAAATAATAATATGAAACGCACAAAGGGAGGCACAGGTCGATACAAAAGCGGCAGCGTCAACGCACGCGTGTCCGCATCGGGCGAGTTGCAGCGCTGTGCAGCACATCGAATCGTTTACCGTCCTTTAGTAAAAGAAGAAAACAGTGCAGGCAAAGTAGAAACGCTTTTCCCTTTTTCGTAGAGCAGTAGCACGCAGCACACCGACAATACAAGTTGCCTTCACTCGCACAACGACAGCAGCAACAACGAAAGGAATGCACAGCCAAAAGAACAATCAACAAGAAAAAGAGAAAACCGATAACGCCCCTGCACCTTTACCTCCACTATCACATTGTTTTCGTCCTCCATTCCGGCTCTAATCGTCTCCCACCGTCACGTACACCGTCACCGGGAAAAACCGGAATACACGCTGCGCCACCACGTACAGCACCACGACGACAAACAGCACAGCGGAGAGGCGCAGCAGCAGATCATCCCTCGACTGAACCGTGAGCAGCCTCCGCACCATCCGCTGCGCCGTCGCCATGGAGGAGTGGACATCCTGCAGCGACTGGTGCAGGGCGGCGAGAGACTCGCCGGAGCTCGCCAGCCCGTGCACCGCCGTGTCCATCTTCTTCAACTCCACCGAGAGCATCGAGCGGGTGTGGAGGAGGGAGCGCAGCGCCGCCGCGGTGCTGGCGGCCGATCGGCTCGACCCTTCGCCTCCATCCAAATTGCCGGACTCCTCCATCGCCGCCACCGCACGCGGCAGCACACGACGGAGGTCAATACGCACCTTGTCGATGCGCACGTACAGCATCAACTCCTCCTTGCTCGGTGCGGGTACGGTCGACGGTGGCGGTGGAGTTGTTGATGGTGCCGTGCGGGAGGGGTGCACAGGACGAGGTTGGAGGGTGCTGCGGTTTTGTTGCTGCTGCTGTTGCTGGCGCTGTCGCTCTCGCTGCTCGCGCATCGTCTCCAGTGCCTTTAAGACGTGCTGGGCGTGCGCCACCGCGAGGGACAGCGCCCCGTGTTGACGCGTCGTGCGGTTGGACACGAAGGCGTGGTGTGCCGCCGTGACCTCCTGCAGTGCGTGCTCCGCCCGGTGCGCGAGTGCGGCGAGCACCGGTGTCGATCGGAAAGTGGGCGGGGGCGATGGAGAGGGAGTGGGCGGGGAGGGGCTCCGCATGGCTGCGTGGGGCATCGCTGCTGTGAAGGAGGGTGGAAAAGAAAAGAAAACGAAAACGAAAAGGGAAAGTGCGGAGAGCGCCGCCGCGATGCTCAGGGACGTTGTCGTGCTACTCCAATGAAACTGCGCCAGCCTTTTTTCTTTTTGAAGCTTAACGTGTTTCGCTCCTACGCGGAGACCACCTTCAAAGAGGTGCGAGCGCTATGTGGGTTGTGCAGAGGGGCGTCGTCATCATCATCATAGCAACGGGAATAAACGCATGTCTTGTACATGGAAGTGTTGCTCGCCTCTGCCACCTCTTGCAGAGAAGCGCAGTCACCATACGACGTCAACGTGTGGACAGCACTCACACATACAACTAGCAAACAACAACAACAGGCTGTTGTATCGCATGGGCTCTTGTCCGTTTCAGTGGCAGACGCTTCTACACGTGCTTGTTCATGGTGGTGGTTCTTCATTCTTTTTGATATTAAATATCTATGCGATGCATCAAAGCCACAAACGGCCCATCCCGTTGACACGAGATCCACACTGCTGAGAACAGCATTCAAGAGGGAGGGCCAAAGCACACTCGAAAAGCGGGGGGAAAAAGGTGTGTGCGTGTGTGATGCTTTCTATGAGGCCCATTCCAGAAAGAAAGAAAAGATATTGTGAAGGGGGAAAGCGGCCTTCACGACGTAGACGAGTCGCCGGTACGTGTGTGTGTGTGTGTGTGTGTGTTTCTACGCGACAAAGACTGTCTTCTCCATGCTTTTTTCTTTGATTTTAACACTCAAGCACGTCCGTCACACCTGCTCCACCGCTGCACTCGTCATGCCCCGTGACGGTTCATCTATGTAGGTCCGCTCGCTGACTTGTGTGGAAGGAAAGAGTGAATGAAAACAACAACTGAAAAGAAGAGCAACACAAGACAAGTCGACGTCGGGGGGGGGGGGCCAGTTCATACAGTGAAGAACTGAATCATCTCCTCCACCAGCTCGCTCGCACTCTGATGGAGAGAGAAAGAGGCGCCGCAGCTCTTCAGAGGAGAGGGCGACGGCGATCGCAACGGCGCCTCATCGACGGACGCATCGCCCGCACTTCCGTTTTCCTCCTCCGCGACACGGGTGGGCCTGTGGACTTCGTGAACGCCGGTGGCGCGGAACGCCAGTTTTTCGCTGAGGTTTTGTGTTGGCGGAAGCTGGGAGACGTTGTCAGGGCGGTGCTCGTGGAAGAGCTGACGCATCACCGCTGGCTTCCTGCGAGGCACCTCCGATTCCACTTCCGCTGTCTTCTTGATGGATGAAAACACCGTCAGCAAGTAATCCATTGCGTCTTGATCGTCGATCAGCACCTCCGGCGTGCCAGGGAAAGTTGTTCTGTCCCACGCTCCTTCTGTTGTCCCCGAAGTGGGTGACGGAGTGCTGTTGCGGTGCTTCACGGCGGATAAAGGAGAGGGCGTCAGACCGAGCTCCTCTGTCATCGTGTGGCACCCGTGTGAAGGAGCCTTTACGTGCCTCTTTTGAAGAGCTGACGCTGAGGTGGACGAAAGGGATAAGGCTTGACTGTCACCGCTGATGTTGTCTTCCTGTGCAGCTCCCTCCACTTTCCTCGCCCAACGCGACAAAGGCGAAGGCAGCGCATGCCGTACATTGGCCCTCCGCACGTCACCATCTTCATCGTGCCGGAGCTCGGGTGACCGCACCGATGCAATCTCTGCCTCATCGGCAGCGGCGATGGGAGACATCCGCAGGCTCGTAGGCGGTGACACCGTGATGGGGAGGGAGGGATTCGCTGCGTCTTCTGAATGAGCCTTCGCATCCGCCACCGCCACCGCCGCATCATCATCGTGTGTAACTACACCGTGCTCTTCATGATGAGGGGCATAGGAGCCGTGACGACGCGTGTGTCGCCTCCTTCGGTGCTGCCGGGCCTGCCTTGTCAACACCGCTCCTTCTTGACGGTGCAGGGCGACCCGTAGGGCACGAATCTCTGCCTGCTGTTCTATGGCCTGCTGCGAGAGGTGCGCGAGGACACACTCGTAGCGGCGCAGCACATCGCCGGTGTCGACCACGGTAGAGCTGCTTGAGGAGGGAGGAACGGAGGAGGTGGATGGCTGACCGCCTCGCCTCTTCTTGGAGAAAACCTGCATAGCGACTGCCAGGGGAAACACAAAAGAAATGAAAAAAGAGAGCTGGAAGGAGAGAGAGGAAGAGGGAGGGCGGCGCTCAAGCAACGCCGTCTGCGTGTGCGTTTCACCCCCCATGCTCAAGAAACATGCGGCGTGGCGCTTCACAAAGAGAAGAAGAAAACAATATGCGCCAACATTTCCATTCAAGACTGCCGCGACATTTAGCCTGCGTGCGGCCACCGCGTCACACAGCAACGGCCGTTGCTATGTGGTTTTCTCCTTTTAAAGAGTTCTCATGAACGAGTCTGCCCAAAGTGCCACAACGCCCTTAAACCGTTAAACAAAAAACGACGCTACGAGAGGTAAGAGGGTGAGAAAGGTAGCTCGATTGCGTTACGTGAGTGCAGAAAGCGCGAGGTATACAATCTACCACCAACTGACATACAGAATTCCCAACATCAGGGCAGCTGCGTCAGTGGGTCTTCAACGTACACGCCACCCGACATGCACACCCGAAACTCCCCACGACCCCACTTCCCTGTTGTTGAGAGGTATCGATCCACGTTCTGCGACACACGCACGTCGGTTTCCGCGAGGTCCCCAAGACACTTTTCTTTGTGCTGAAGACACCGCATGACTAGCTGGGTGAGAAACCACTGCGTGTTGTACATGGTGGAGTGCAGCTCCACCCGCGCCAGGTGCGACGGCAGACACAACACCTCGCGATCCGTCGGTTCCTTCTTTGATTTAAACCGACGAGTGCGCTCCGCCGCGTACTTGAGGGAAGTCTGCGCGAGTTTATCCTCCATGGTGCGGCGCATGTGCTGAATGGCGTAGCTGACGTTGGGCAGGAAAGCGAGGTACGTCCCCGCCAGCTTCGACACCCGCGCCGCATCGTCGGAGAAGAGAAGCGCCGCGTACTGATCCAAGTACGGGGCTGCACCGACGAGGTTCGACATTGCCACGTCGTTCCTCACCGGCGAGACGGTCGCGTTCGAAAGCGATGCGTGTTCTGCTCCTGCTGTCGCGGAGGTGTTCGTTTTGAGGCCGCCCATGCCCGGTCGTCGCCGTCTCTCCGCCTGCTCCGTGTACCACAGCTGCGCGGCTTTGAGATGCGCCACCCACTCCACTGTGCAGAGCCCATCGCCGAGGCTCTGGGCCATGTCCATGCGCTGCGCAAAGGCGTCGTCGTGCCCCCCCTGTGCAGCGGCTGCCTTGCCGATGATCAACAGCGGGTTCTCCGCCACGTTTGTGTCGCGGGGCGTCGTTGGGCTCGGCAGCAGCGTAAACTGGAGCCACTCTTGGCAGAAACTGCGGTGGAAGACGGTGACCCCCGGGGCGTAATCCACCGGCATGCCAGAACGGCTGCTCAGCAGCACCTCACAGAGCGTGGAGAGAGCGGGCGGAGCGACGGTGGAGCTGACGTTGTGGTGGGGGTCCACAGTTGCGGCTGTCGCCGGCGAACGTGTGCGGTGAGGCGCACGCATCCACGGCGGCACCGGGACGCGGATGCTGTACAGCGGCGCCCGCAGGCAGTGGAAGTGCGGTGCGGTGCTGTAGGCTGCCACGGGCAGTCCGTCCTGCACCTCGCGGACCGTAACCGCTGCAGCCTTCCCATCCTCTTCGCTGTTGTCCCTCTTGGTGTTGGCAGGGCTCTCCGCAGCGGTGGTGTTGAGTGGAGCAGGCGCTACGACTTTCTTAACGAAGGCGACGAGCCGAGTTTGCAGTTCAGCCTCGCGCGCGGCGTCGTGACGGTCCACCGAGGCGTACACCTGCAGGCGATAGGCGTGGACATCCTCCTCGCCTGGCGAAGCGCGCGCCTGATCGACCAGCGTGTGTGAAAGGCCCGCAAGCGCATTCTTCGATAGGGCCTGCAGCGCGAGTGTGACCTCGTGTTGAACGTGCTCGTGCACACGATTGCTGCGGGCAGCGGCGGCGTTCATTGCTGCTCCGTTCTCCAGAGCGAGGGACGGCAACGACGTCACCAACACACGGTGTAGGTCATGTACCAGCACGTATTCCGTCTGCACGAGACGCACACCGTATAGAAGGGTAAACGCACGCTTCGTGGCATGCGGATTGGCGACGGCGGAGTGTGGAAGCCCCACCACCCGCACCCGCGACGACAGCAGCGCCTGCGCCTCTCGTGTTTGCTGGTCCCGTGGATTCGGGGCAGGGGCAGTGGGAGCTCCCTGCTCGCCGGTCCACCACCACCTCCGCACTACCTCCTCTTCCTCCGCTGCTGCGGCGATCGCCTTTGCACCGGTGAAGACCTCGTTGTGCATGATGAGCCACTCGTGGATGCTGTGGTGCCGCGTCATCCCCGACATGAGAAGGTGACGTGCGGCGCGGCGCAGCAGCACTACCGCCTGTTGCGGCGGGGAGGTAGAAACGGCAGCGGCAGCCGCGGCAACGACCTCTGACGTGAGTGGAGGCCCTGTTGCCACCGTCAAGACGGTAAACGCGCGGGCGATGCGGACGCTGCCACCGCCCTGTGCCCACGTGGCCGGCAGCGGCTGCGCGCGATAGCCGGTGTTTTGTTCTGCGGGCGTAGGGAGCAGCGTTGTGGTGGCGCTGGCGGCTGACACAACGGCGGCGGTGGGGGTTGCGGGCTGATGGTGCGACGGCGGTGACGGCGATGGCAAAGGAGTTCTGGCCGTGAACCGAGTTGCGCCAGCGCCACGAGTGGAGGGAGCGACAGCGATTTGACGGAGAAGCACAGCACCGAGAAGCAGCACGAACAGGAATAAAATGGAAAGGCGCACGAGCCTGCGCCTCAGCGACCGGCTGCGCAATGGGCGGCAACACTCGTCTGAGGGCCATTCGCGGCTTTTGAACGCGCCCGTCAGCGTGCCGAAAACATCATTGGTGGGAGAGCTATTTGGAGCTTTCCCAGCGTCGCAGTTGGGCGCGATGGGGGGCGCTCGAGATGGCGGGTGCCGGTACCGCTGGTCCGTGCGTAGCAGCTGTTTGCTTTGTACGCCAGCGTAGGTGCCGCCTTCGTCGTCGGAGCTACTCGGCATCGATGCGCGAGGAGAAGACGGCGGGGAGAGGAGGAGGGAGGAACGAGACAGTGCGAAGCCCTTGAAAAATAAGAATAATAACAATAAAAATAACAGGAACAGACGTGCAATTTTCTTCCGTTGATGCTGCCAGGGCGAAGAAGTAAACCGTGAACCTTAAAAAACCAAACAAGAGCGTAGTGTACGTTGAAGAGTGTGTGCGGTTCGCTTTGAGCACGACGAGGGAGCAATAATGATGATGTATAAAATAGTTATAACAGTGAATGAGGAAGCCTCATTGAGGCAAAGAGGAACAAAACAAAACAACAGCAGAAAACTCTAGCACGTGAGGGGGCGGGGTGGACACCGAAGTTAGAACACGCACGATTAGTTCGCTTTGTAACAAAACAATATCGAGAAAAGAATTCCTTCTGCTTTTGAAAGATGTGTATTCCATGTGCTTACCGCGGCCCGCTTGCTGTCGCCTCGATGTAGCGTGCGCTCATCCAAATCACAATGTGCAGCACGGCGATGACGCCGATAGAAAAGTAAACAACCCAAAGGACGGATGCGTGAGTGAGCACAAGATACATTCTCATCTGCACACAGAAACACGTGCCGTTGGAGCTGCGGTACTTTGGAGAAACTAGCGGACTTTAGCGTTGTGATGGCTGCGCGCACTTCATCTACCCGTTACAAAATGGCGCGGAAGGAGAATTCAACAGATGAAAAGAAGAAGAAGATGAAGGTGGTGAGGCTGAAAAAAAAAAGCTGCCGTGTCCTCTGACATGCTCAGCATCGAATATACCAAACAACACAGAAATCAAGCATCGCAGATGATGCAGTGCGCGACCTGCTGCGACCCTGAGACGGAGAGGAGCCGGCAGACAGTGGGGACTAGCGTGCGGACGCCAGCGAGACGTGTGTGCTCACCACTCAGTTTTCTACATCTGAGTTTCTCGAGCTCCACATTTTCCGTTCAGTTTAGAAAAGAGCTTATTTTTTCCTTTGTGTATGTATGCATGTATGTACTTGTGAAAGACGGTACCAAGAAACCCCATCGATGAGAGCAGACGTACGTCTCTGTCTCGCGCTTGACAAGGCGCTCGTCAACAGCGCAACTCCCTCCCTGCCGATGCCTTAGCATCCGCGCACCATCGCAACTTACCCAACATCTGGAAGCTCGTCAACGGTGCTTCTCCTCATCTAGAAAGGCAAATGAATCCCACAAGCGGTATATATATATTTCAGCGACTCACGACAGCCGGTCCACCAACCAACGATAGAATTAAACGCTCTGCTTTCGGCCACGTTGTCAGTGATCGGCCAGGAAATGCGTCGAAACGCCAAACTTGTACACCTGTGAGCGGGTGTAGCCCATGTCCTTCAAAAAGCCGGAGTACCGGTAAAACGGTCCTTGCCAGTAGAAGTAGTTGCCAACGGAGCTGACACGACCGCACAGATGCATGAGCATCGACTGCGGCCCGCAGACCAGCAACTGAGGACGATAAGTGGTGGGGTGCGTGTCAGGAGGCGTGCTGCGACTCCCGTCGAGATGACTCTCTTGCTGGACTACTCGAATCGGTGGAGGCAGCGCCGCTGCTATCGTCTCAGGGTCGATGTTCCCGACGTACACGTTCTCCTCCACGGGCGCCGCCGTACCCTTGCGACGACCGCCCGCCAGCACGTTGTACGCGACCCGAATGCGGTCCTTGTTGTGCTCCTCATAGCGCTTGAAGAGCGAGTCGCGGAAGGGGATATCGGTGATGGTGTGGTGGCAGTACAGGACGCGGAGTTGCGTCGCATCGGACTTGTGCTTGTCGATTACGTTCATCAGCTGCAGCGCCACCGAGGCCCCGGCGGTGGTGCAGACGACGCCCAACTCTTTTAATGTGTTCGGCTTGTAGGAAAACTCACGCATCCACCGCCCCAGGTACACCACGTCGCCGGGCTCGAGGTAGCGCAGACGCGCTGACATGCGACCGGGGTCGCAGTCTTTGATGGCGAACTCGATGTAGCCCCGCTCGTCTGGGTGACTAATGGGCGTGTACCACCGCGAGAGCGACGACAGCTCCCGCACGTGCCCGCTCATCATCCGCACCGAGCTAACGGGCTCGTAGCCGGCGTAGTCGTAGCTGTTGGGCAGCGCAAAGCGATAAACAAACATGCTGCTGCCCTCCTCTCGGTTCTTCTCTACAAGAGTGATGGGGACAGGCGGGGCACACCAACTCCACCGCTGCGCCAAGGGGCGTCGCTGCTGGGCCGGGGCAAGGACCCAGTGGTAGAGAGCGTAGCTCACCCCACCGGTGAGACCGACCAGCGCCGCCACACGCGCCGCGTAGCCCATGTTCACGTCGTTCAACACACGGCGTACATCGCCGGGGATGTCTTGCAGCGCAAAGGACCACCGATGCGTGGAGGTGGAGGCGAAGGCGGACGACCCGGTATTTCCCTTGTTCTGCCGCTGCTGGCCTGAGGGGCCGCTGAAGGGATCCCGCTCGCCTGGCTGGCCATAGCGCTTTTGCTGGTGGTACTCGTAGTCACCAAAGGTGTCGCTGTGTGCTGGCGGGCGCCGACGAGCCGTGGTTGCACCGGGCAGCTGCTCCTCCCACGGTTTGGGAGGCATAGTTTTTCGTTTCCGATTCTTGAGCGTCACTCTTCGTGCTGTTCCTCCCCTTTTCCTTTGGGGGTTCGTCATGCATCGGTATCGAAACACACAAATTACAACAGCATAGACAACCCCGACAGTGAAATCAAGATGGAGGCGAGGCGAGAATGAATTGTGTCGTGTTATGCGGAGGACAACAGGCTCTACGACGTTTATAGGAGCGACGGCACGCTGCCACACCACACACGCGCGTTCGTCCGCCCTCCAAAGTCCGTCGTCCGCTGTACGCCTCACCCCCCCCTCCCCGTAAGCAGGCTGCACCGCTGACAGCAGAGACGGCGGAAGCCCGTTAAAGCCCTCCTACACACACATGCACACAACAGCAGCGTAAATCGCTGCCTTCGATCAGATGCATTCGGCGAGGGCCACGCAGCGAAGAGAGAACAGCGGGGTGCTGAAGGCGTTGAGTCGTAGCGGTCTACTTCATTTTTTTTTGTGTTGTCGCTGCTGCGGTTGTGCGGCTCGCACGTAGCACCCCCAACATACACGGCAGCAGGAAGAGAAGAAAAGAGAGGCCACTGCCGCGGCAAGACAGAAACAGAGAGGCGGAAACAACAAGAACAACAAACAACAACAAGAAAGCAAATACGGTAAATAGAAGACAAGAACCACGCCTTACCGCACACGATACAGCGGTACACTCACTCTACCACGGCCTTTTTTTGAATTTGAAAGAAAGGGAGAAGCGGCAGAGCAAGAAAAGGGGGAAAAAACAGCAAAAACAACAACAACAACACACATCGCACCTGAGCACGCGGATCAGCCGTAACTAACCCCGGCGCTTTCAACGCTGTTTCCCTCGTGCTTGTCGTTCCCCTCCTTGCGGTCAAATCCCTACCATAAAACAGAAGCGACAACAAACCTCAACTTCTGAAAGAAACACCCGCAAAGGGAGAGACACGTACACACGATAACCACTCACGTGGAGAGAAAGATTCTATTTGCCCTCTTACGCGGAGCCGCCCTGCGCTATCTTTTCCATGACCGACGCGGCACCCGCCGCCGGCACCACCTTCACACTCTTTGCTTTTTTCAGCGCAGCCGCCACCGCCTCCTGCAGCGGGGCCTCCTCGGCGTACAGCATGCCACGCTCTTTAATTGCCGCGATTACCGCCGCTGCGGCGTCGGCGCCGTCGCCCACGACGACCACATCCACATCCCCCATCGCGAAGTGCGACGGGCGCGGGGCGTGTCCGGCGAGCTCGTCCCTCTTCGGCGCCTTAAACAGCTGCCCGGCCGCGTACGCCTTCGACGCCGCGTCATCGGTGTACTGGTGCGGCCACTTAAAGCCGTACTCGCTGACATGGCGTCGGCCGTGATAGCGGTGCGAGAGGGAGTTGGGGAGGCCCATGCGTGTTGGCAGGCTGCGCTGCACACGCTGCAGATCTGCTTCGATGAGGTCCATCGCCCGCGGCTTCACCCCGGCGGCCGTCGTGGGCAACGAGACGACGTCCCACGCACGGGACACGACACCGTCGGCGAGGCGGTGGTGGCGGCTGCCGTAAAGCCGCGGCGAGGTGCGGAGGACGTCGGCGATGGCTTCCTTCCCCGTAATCACCAGCGTCAGCTTGCGGCCATCCGCGGACATGGTGGACTCCCCTGGCACCGTCAGGAACGCCTTCTCATCCGCGTAGAAGCCCCAACGACCACACAGCATCGCCGTGCTGTCGAGCAGCGCGTCGCAGCTCGGCTCACCGCCCATGACGCACTTCATGGGTATGCTGTACGGCTCCGTCGCGATGAAGCGGTTGTGGTCGAGGCTCATGTCCAGCGGCCGCGGACCACCAAACTCCTCCACAATCCGCGGTACCTCAAAGTCGTAGCTCGGGGCGTGGTAGACCAGCACGCCGGGTCGGCGCCACCCCCACTCATCGATGGGCGACTGCGTCACGCGCTTCACCAGCGTCACCTCCTGCCGGGCTACGTAGTTGAAGGCACGGATGGCGGCCATGGAGGCGAAGTACGCGTGGGTCGGGTTGTCGGTGATGATGCGGTAGGGCGTGGCGGTGGCCGGGTCGCTGCCGAAGACGCCGTCCACCAGGTAAAAGCGAAGCCCTTGGCCGAGGTGGTACTGCACCTCGCGCACAAGACGCTTGCCGTGCAGGGTCGAGATTTCCTTTACACCGGTGTTCGTTGGGTTCTTCACCCGGTGATGCTGCGCGTGCTCGGCGGTGTGCGGGAAGCAAAGCCGCTGAACTGGTTTCGGCTTCTTGCCGTAGCGGATCGCAATGGCACCGCTTTTGGGGTCCTTGCGCCCCCAGGCACGTCCGCGGGTCTCGTACGGGCGTAAGTTGTACTCTCCGATGCCGTAGGTGTACCGCCACACCCCGGACCACATACCCGCGTTGGCGTAGTCGCCCACCTGCGACCAGTTAGACACCAACGTGCTGCCGTTTGCGTTCCACCACGGCCCGGGGTCCTCGTTCGCCTTCTTGAAGAGCGTCAGCGAGTCGTAGCCCCAGCGGTGCATCGTGTGCAGATAGTTGTCCTCCTTCGCCGCTTCCGCCGGGTTGGGCGCGACTTCGCTGCGGAAGACGGGCTTGCGGCGCTCTTCCTCGGCATCTGGGTTGCAGCAGACCTCGTTCAGAATAGACATCTGACCGGCGGACCGGCCAGCAATGGGCTTCAGCGTCTCTTGGATACTGGTGTAGCGCACCCCGCGCCGCTGTTGAACCAGAACGGACGGCACAGTGGCGGCGGCAGCGGTGGCGGCGGAGGAGGAGAGGACTGCGGCACAGCCAGCTGCCACGCCGGCACGTGAGAGGCGCATCATTGGTGTGTGTGTGTGTGTACTAGTGCTAAATACAAGAAAGGAAAGGTAAAGAAAACTATAACGCTAGAGGGCCGCTACGCGGAAAGATAGAAAAGAAACAAGAAAATACACTAAGCTGCTACGCAAAGTAACGCTGCTCCTACGCCAGAGAAGGAACAGAAAAGATCAATCCCACCGGGAGAACGAGCTGGAAAACAGAGAATAGTGTCCTGTACGCTACGTACGTCGATAACGTCTACGCCCCCTTGGTTTTTCTTTCTATTTTGAATGCTTCAGCAGATGATGGTCGTGGCACGACGACGAGAGCACAACGGCACCCGAAAAGCGCGGCTCGCTATTACAGGGAAGAAGAAAACTCCCTTTTTTAAATGCTATGAGCTCGCTTCCGCGGCCCACCAATCTGCTTCGCGACGTGTACTAACTGAGTTTGTGTGAGGAAGCCATACACCGGCCTATCCGCCGTGCACGTACGGAAGACGAGAGGAGAGGACAGGAGAGCAGAACGGTGGGTAGTAGCAAAGAAAGAGAAAAGAAGAAGAGATCAACAAAAGCCACTTGCACGCGTCCTGTTGGAGTACTGCGCAAAGAACGGCGCGTGAGGCGCTGCTTGCGTATTCGTGTTGCGAGAAGAAGAAGAAGCATCTTGCGGCGTCGAGCGAGCTCACCTCAACACATTTCGCACGCTCGCGCTCCGCTTCCTTTGGTATTTTGGTTCTGTCCTTTCCTGCTGTACAGTCAACAACACGCATGCGAGACGCCACATGATTAGAAGAGAAAGGAGTCCAAAAGGAACAGCGGAAGAAGGGGTGGTGGGAGACAACGAGCGACTCAAACACAACTACAACTTCGGCTTCACCGTCGGCGCGTCAACGACTGGGGGAGCGAGAAAAAAAAAAACGCAAATACAAACGAAACACAGAAGAATAGCACTCGAGCAGCTCAGCTTCCATGTGCGGAAGACACACTCCCCTTCCCTCCCCCTTCCCCCCGCACACACACACACACACACACACACGGAAGGAGTTCGTACAGGCCAACGCCCACCACACGTAGATACATGTAAATCCAGGAAAGAACTTCGTACCAGCATAACAATGAACGGGCGAACAGAGAGAATAATAGTAATAAAACAATGTGAGAAGGCCGATATCCCACACTGGGGATTACAGAGTAGTGTGTGTGTGTGTGTGTGTATGGGCGTGTGCGAGATCTGCAAATTCCGATCGCACAAATCGGTGCCTTGAAACCAAAGCCCCAACGAACAAATAAATCGATAGGACAAAAGCCAAGGAGGAAAGAACCGGAAAGAGAGCGACGGGAGGGGCCTGCGCTTCACACGGCAGGCGAGGCGAGCAAGAACGGTCCATCCTTGACGGCCTTCTGTCGAAGGGGACAGCACTGTCAAACGAAGTTGCGATAGCCGCAAAAAGCGTGAGAAGAGAAGAGTCAATTGAGAGGAAGACACGGCTGAACGATCGAAAAGCAAACGACAAAAAACTCGAGGGAAGGTGGGAGAAGCACAAGAGGAGGAGGAGACACAAAATACACACATTGAGGGGGCAAAGTGAGAAGCGGACATCAGGAAGAAAGAGCAACACAAAACGAATGAAATAATATATATGAAGCGGCAACAGATAAGATCCCACGCGAAGGGCACCAAAAGCCGAACAGGGCGGACATCGTGCACGAAGAGACGGCGGACATCGCTTTTCACAATATCGCAGAGCAGCGATGTGAGCTGCCTCAGTCAGCTAACGCCACTACTTCTAAATACAATGGAAACATGTGCTTCTCGAGAAGCATCTGGACACAAAGAGAACCAGAAAGGAAATGAAATACTTAAAAAAGAAGAAGAAGAAAGGGCGTGAGGAAACAAAATTGAATTCAAGAAGAAAACCACCGAGAAATATTCTTCAAACATAATAATAAAAAAGAGAGTCAACCGAAACAACAGGAGAAGAGAGTGCTCCTTGTTGATCAGCGCAGGCGGCGTCGCCGCGCTGAAATGATCGTTTTAAAAACAAACAAACGAAAGCAACATTGATAATATCACAAGCAAGAGGAGCAGTGGGAGAGAAGAATGCCAGACCAAAACAACAACAACAACAACAACAACAGCAGAAGGCATGTGAAAGACTAAAAGAAAAAGGAGGAAGGAGACGGGTGCAACAACATTCCCCCCCCTCACACACACACACTCCCCACAACAAGAGGAGTTTCTTAAAAATGTGGATAATTATGTTACCCACGAGATACGCAGCGATATACACGATACAATGAAAATGTACCAACACACACACACACACACACATGAGATGCTCAGGCAACACAGAGAATACAAGCCGCATCAGTGAGATATGCTGTCCCACGAAGACGACAGCACTTCCTTATCGGTGTAATGGAGTACTAACGATGAAAGACACACACACACAGGTAGGTACAACGAAGTTGATGTATATATATATATATATCCTCTCGCACACGACCATTTCTTTGCTGAACCTTTGTGTGTGTATGGATGGAAAAAAAGGACACAACTAGAGAAGGCGTCAACGACAAGAAGTCATCGCCTGACGGGCCGCAGGACGTCCAGCACCGAGGAGTTAATGCTGAAAGTGTCGTTGAAATCGTCAAAGTCATCGGCCAGTCGGCCGCCGTTCGCAGGCGACAGCGGGATCTCCGTCGGCGTGCCACTGCCCACGATCACATCTTCGTCCTCCGATGTGCACCGCAGCACCGGTGCCGCGGCGGGAGTCGGCTGCCGAGACGCACCACGGGAACGACCGCCATTGCCGCGCCGTGCCACGTCCCTCTCAGCTGCGCCGCTGACGTTGTTCCCGTTGTCGCTGTGCTCCTTCGCATTGGCCACGTCCAGCATCGCGTGCAGCATTTGCTGTAGCTGTGCAGACGTCACGCGCTTGCTCACGCCCGGCTCCATGGTGCAGCGAAGGATTTGACGCCAGGCCGCCGGCAGAGTGGCCGGGAGGTGTACCCCCTTGCGCACCGTTTGGCAGATCTGCTTCATCGAGTGGAAGGGGACGTGACCGACGAGGAGGGTGTAGAAGGTGACGCCGAGGGCCCACACATCCAACGCGTACGGGTCGATGGTGCGGGAGGACGACTGGCCGGCCGTTGTCGCTGACGCGCCTGTGGCGGCCGTCGTGGTGGTGGGGTTGCTGCGCTTGTTGTGCTTGCCGTGGTGCATCGATGAGGCCGTGCTCCTCGTACTCGCGCCCGACTCGCTCACATTCTTGTGTAGCAGGTCCAACTCATCATCCTCGTCCGCGTCCTCGTCGTCCACTGCGTAGATCTCCGGCGCCATAAACAGCGGGGTTCCTTGATAGGCCAGCGTGGCCGCCGTGGGCAGCCCCGCCTCTGCGTTCATCAACTCCGCTACACCAAAGTCTGCCAGAAAGGCTTGACCGTCGCGGTTAACGAGGATGTTCTCCGGCTTGATGTCGCGATGAACGATGCGGTGCTCGTGCAGATAGACGAGCCCGTCCGCCACCTGCGTCGCAATGGGGAGCAAGTTCTCCGGCGCGAAGGGCGCGGTAATGCAGCCGGATGAGTTCAGCTGCGCAATCGCACCGTTGTCCACGTACTGTAGAATCAAGAAGAGAGAGTTCGCCTTCGGGTCGTTGATGACCTCGTATAGTCGCACGATGTTGGGGTGATTCAGGTCCTTCATCACGTCAATCTCGCGCTGCAGGTTGCGGGTAATGCGCTCCGCCGTGGTGAGACGTGCGGTTTTCGTGACATTCTTATGCCGTGATGGCGGTGTGGCGGCGGACGCCGGTGGTGCGCTGTTGCCCGTCGCATCACTGTATCGCCCATGGTGTGCCCCCGCGATGGCGGTCTTCCGCCGACGGGTGTCGGAGTCGGCCGACTTGTCAGTGTCGCTGCTGTTCTGCTGCTCCGGTGTGCTCGAGAGCGCCACGGACGAGTCGGAGGAGAGGCGGGGGCGCTGCAGGCGGTACTTCTTTTCCCTCGGCTTCACGATGATCTTGATGGCCACACTGCACATCATGCTGGTGCTGAAGGCCAGCACAACACGCCCCGTCGCGCCGCTGCCGATCTCGCTCAGCAGAATGTAGTCGTTCAAGAATTGCGACCCGTCGTAGGTCTTCGCCAGGGAGGCGGTGGAGTAGAACTGGGCGGTGGGGCTCGCTGCTGCTGCCGCCACCGGCGCGCCCATCGTCGGTGCCGCTGCAGCTGTTGTTGGGCTCTGCAGCGCAGGCGGGGTGCCGTGCGCCATTACATCCCGCTGCGACGTCTCACAGGTGGTCCGGCTGGCATTGCGACTTCCGCAGGTGCGCGCCGCGCTGCTCAAACCTGCCTGGCTCGCGCTGCGGGCCGCGGGGTCCGTTTTGCGCCGGGCGAGCGCGGTCGCCGTGTTGCTGGTGGACTGCGGCGAGAGCGACTTCTCAGCCGCGGCGGGGGTGCGGTGAGGGGAGAAGCTCAAGAGCGCGTTGCTGGGTGGGATGAGGGCTGCTGCGGCGGTGGTGGTAGTGGTCGTCGCCGCCGTGCTCTGCCGAGGTGACAGCGCCGCCTTCTTAGACGGGTGGGCGGTGGCGATGGGGAGCGGCGGGCTTGGCTCAAACAGCAGCAGACTTGTCGAGTCAACGGCCGAGATCGGCATTAGCGAGCGCTGTCGCGGAGAGGTGGAAGCCGGCCGTGACGGCTGTGGCCTTGGTTTGAGAGGGTGTGATGCGGGCTGCTGGTGCTGCGGCAGTGAAGAGGGAGGAGGCCCGCGAGGCTGCGCCGGTGTGTAGAGGGAGGAGCGGCGCAGCGGCATCTGGTCCTCTGGCGACGCCATCAACATCGATTCCAGCCCGATCACGTCATACGACCCGGCGGACGGATCGGGAGAAGTCTTTTTATTCGATCCCGCAGACGGCTGCCGGTGTGGCACATGCATGTTTCTGCGGTTATTGCTGTGGTGGTCCTCGCATTTGCTGTTATTCCTGCTCTCTCCGTGACTGCGAAAGATGGACGTGTACTTGGTTGCGGGGAACTCATCATTGTCGGAGGAGGAGCAGGCAAGGTTGTGCAGACTACCCAGCACGCTGGTTGCGTGGTTTGGCGTGTCCTCCTCCGCGGCGTCCTTCTCTACTGCGGTGGCAGAATTTAAGTCACTCGGCACCCCTCGTGAGCGACATCGGGCCCTCTCAACGCTTTCGTTCGGCGACGACGGCGCGTTGGGTGTCGCGGCGGTCGACGTGGGTTGACTCCGCGTGCGGTTCCGTGAGTACGGCCGGCTCGCCGTCAAAGAAGATGGATTGTTGCTGTGGTGGTGTTCATTGCTGTGTGGCTTGTGGGCAGGGGACGACGTGGCAGTGGCGGCGGCGGCGTCCGGCTGGGTGCGGGACACGAGACTCGGAAGCCGGCAGCCAGCTCGGTGCTGGGACGTGGAGGTGACAGACTCGTTTACGCGGATGAGGCGGGTGGTGGGCCGGAGCTGCGGCCCCTTCAGACTCGTTGACATCCGCAGTGGGTTCGACCCAGCCGATTCGCTGCCTGTGCTGTCGACGCTGTGCGTCGTCACGTTCGATGTACTCATCTTGTGCCGGCGGATGGCCATGGACTGGTGGTACATCTCCATCGCCTCTGCGAACTTGCCGGAGGAGGAGCTCGCCCCCGCGGCGCTGGTCGTGTCGCTGCCACTGGAACCGTCGTCAATGCTGGCGTGTGTGCTTCGGCCGCCGCTGCCACTGCTGCCACTGCGGCTGCGACTGTGACTCCGTTCACGCCCTGTGGGGTGTTTTAATTGAGGAAGCATTCTACCGAGAGAAGATGGATAGATATAGTTACCAAGACAAAAAACGGCAGAGGATTTGAGAAGGAAGGGTGCTGTTCGGCGCTTACGAAACAGGGCAGAAAAGACACGGCAATGAAGAAAAAACAAAGAATAACACACACACACGCACACAGACGCGAATACTCGCCGCCGCAGCAACAAACTCTGGAATGGGAATAGTTATTAATATACGAGTCGAACAGCGACAACAGCAGGTTTCTCAGGTTTTGGGTTCTTCCCTTGATTAAAAGAAAAAAGAAGAAGACGGGACACAGAAGAACAAAACAGCTCTCAGCTCAACTACGCAAGAGGAGAAATAAGCTTCGCGCCTTCAGCCCTGGGAAGCACCGAGGGACACAAACAGCAGCGTGGGGGAGAAGCGGCGTACAAACAACAGCACCGAAAAACAGCCCCTCAACAAAAACCCCGCAACCAACGAGTCGATGACGACCTGTGCCGTAACGTTGGTTTCCAGAAAGAACTGAAAACACAAGGGTGAAGTAACAAAGAAAAACTTAACGTGCAGAAGTTTAATTTCTAAATATTACGTTTGAGCTTGCTTATTCTTTTCAACTCAGAAGGAAGAAAGAGGAAGGAAGAAGGAAGAAGCAGGTGAATCTCTTTTCCTCTTTGGGATTCGCGCGTCGACTCGCTGCAGAGAGAGAGAGGGATGGTGAAAGGGTAACAGCTTTGTAGCTGCTTTCCTCTCCACTCGTTGGCGAGTATGACTTCAACCCGAGCGCACCACACTGCTTTTTACCTCTTCCCTGTTGTTCAGATTCTCGAAAAGAAACAGTTATCTTAATTCGCCAGCAAACGATGAAACAAAGCTGTGCTGCAGAAAAATCAGCGTGACAGAAACCGGTGGAGCCGAACGCACTTGTCGATCGGTCTTTGAGAAGAGGAGGCGTGGAATAGACGAGGAAAAGAGAAACACGTTTGCTTTGCGCCGAAGAGACGGACCAAAAACCCTGCTGAGCAGCACACACACACACAGAGAGAGAGAGAGAGAGAGAAAGAACACACGAAGAATAAAGCCAATAAAAGAGAAAGATGGCTACGATGCGGGGAGTTAGGAAGAAGTTGGACGAGCCGATTGACACTCCGCCATTTAAAAAGGCCTTTTCCTCCGTTATATACCCAAACACCGATGGCGGCGGATTTGCTGCCCTATTTGCTGACGAATGGATGGGAGTGTACTTCAGTACTCTACGCGTGTGGTGGCCTACGAAAGAAAATCCAAGCAGGCCGACACGAGGCGGTGCGCGACGCACGTGCGTGCCCCTGTACACGTGATTGAATGCAAGGGAAAGAGAAGCAGTGAAGGAAGAGAGAGAAAGGAAAACAACAAGCGAGCAATGGGCGAACAAATGGCGCTGCCCAGCATCGGATATTCGAAAAGGAAGAGAAGAGGAGGCGGGAGAGCGACGAAGGGATGGCGTGAGGAAGGAAATCGAAAACAGATACAATGAAGCGCCTCAAAATGGATTCTGGAAACAGACACCCATTTAGCTTTAACGTGTCGGACACACCCATGCAAAGGAAAGCATATTCCAAATGGCGTTATACGGTTTGCGACGTACTCTAACACCGCTGACACACGGTTTGGTGTGTGCTGTGACACACACACACACACACACACAGACACAGACACAGACACAATACGCGCTCGTAGATGCGAACGAAAAAGTAAACGGCCGTACAACAACAGGCCGCTGCTGCTAATAACATCATTACTATTATTACCCCCTTTCGCCGGACCATCACAAATCTGGCTGGCTTGCGATTTAATTATATGTTTTTTGTTTATCCTCAATGCACACGCACGATGAAGGAGCAACAACTTTTTCATCTTCATTATATATATCTTTACGTGCCTCCTGCTCTGCTATCGACAGGCAGCCAAACGCACGCAATAGAGCTTCAACAACTCCCACAGCCGCGCGTACGCGGGCGGACAGCTCAGCACACAGCGATCACGTTCCATCTTATATATATCAAGTGTATTCTTTCACATCGATGACAACAAACATGGCACGGGTAAACAAGAAAGAATAACAACAAACAGAATCAAAAGTTGTTCAATAGAAAGGCGAAGAAAAAAAGAGCTAAGAATACATGAGAGCCGCGCTGATCTCACCCATCACAGCAAAGCAGCAACAAACACAGGATTAGTAGTAGTAACAACAGAGAGATAACAATGGGAATAAAACAGAATTCAAGAGAAGCATGAAAAAAACGGGGAGAGGACACACAGAGGAGAGATAAATCGGCCCCTTCGGCATTAAAAAGAAAAGCAACGCGCAGTGTAGTTCTGACAGCCACGCCGGTGGGCCTTCACTGACGAAGAGGTTCGTTAAAAACCGTGCATGCCTCCCATTGCCGGGAAAACAACCTCTTTTAAAGAAGACATAAGTAAAAAATAACAATAATAGGAAGGTGGTGCGCTTACTGGTGCTTGCCACGACACAAGATAAAATGAAACCTACAATAAAAATGCTGATACAATTGTGCTGTATCAACGGCAGGCGGCCAACAGCGAAGTATGCAAACGCCTGCCTTTCTTTCACATGTCGTTTTCGAATGAGTACTCAGCAGTTCGAAATTGAGTGCTTTAGCAGTGTTACAGGAATATCGGCGGCGTGAGGAACAAGCACCACCACGTAATTCAAGGAAAGGAAAAAAAAAACGCGATCAGTCAAGGCAACAAACACGCAAAGAGAGGCCAGGTGAAGTAAATGGATAATAATAATACTAATGATACCTAGAACCTGACGCGACGCTGTCTGAAGCGAAGGACATGGCAAAGAAAAGACTGCGTCAGGGAAAGCTCATCATCATCATCACACACACACACACACATATACTCATATAAACATGCACAAATACATACGTCCACAGAAACACTTTTATCGTCTCATTACAAAGCGAATTTCCAGCAAAGAGAGAAAGAAGAAAAAAAGACAGAAGAAGAACCCCCCGTATTCATTTGCTGAGGAATAACGTCGAGTGGCGTGTGCACCGTATCTATGAACGTTTTCTTGGTTTGCTTTCTCCTTTACATGTGCGATTGCGCTGCCAGGTTCCATTCCTTTCGTTGTCCCCCTTCGTAGCAAACAAATGCACAAAACCAACATGAATAAAGAAATAGCAACCGTGTAAATAGCTTCACCTCGATTGTCGCTTGAGGGTGGGGTGCGCGAGAAGCTCGTCGCCACCGGTGCCGCTCGCGTGACAGCGAAGCGAGATAAACAACAATGTCCAGAAGGAAGAGAAGAAAAGAAACGTGAAGCAGCGGTCCCACCACACAACAACGGCAGCGGCAACACCATTCTCAAATACCCCAGACGCTTGTGTGTGGGACTCTACTAACCAGACACTGGATGGAGGCACTGGAGAAGGAGGAGAACATAGAAGAGGAAATACATACATGGCAGATTCGTTTTCAAGGAAAATAATAGAAGAAAAAAAAAGCAGAAGTTACTTCACACACACCCTCACACAAAAACAGGGATAGGAGATGATACCTATACAGAACGAGACTGACGGAAGACACATGAAGCGAGAAATAAAAATATAATAATAATAATAATAATAGTAATCAACAACTGCTGTCGTGCATGCGTGGAAAAAAAAAACATCAACATCGAATAGAGAAGGAGAAAAATAAGAAAAGAGAATAGATGCATACGCCATTTGAACCTCGCATGAACGTGACCGGTTACGCCAGCAAAGCCACAACAACAACAAATAATAATAGTGTTAATAGAAAAAAGGGGAATAAGACAAAAAAAGGAGAATCAATATAAACACACGGTGAACACACCTAAAGTAATTTTCATCTTTCAGCAATCACAAGAATTTATGCGGGCGGTTGAATCGCACAGCAATGAAGATAAGGAACGATTTTTTTCTCCCTTTTTCTCCGTAAGTAAAGAAGAGATAGAAGACGGCAAAGAGGTTCGGTTGGTGTAGCGCATCCGTTCCAAAGAACACAAAAGCGGCAACGACACAACACAGAAAGAGGCTGTACCAGCGAAGCCGACATTCCCACCACCACAATACACCGATCAGGCGAAATAATAAAGGAGAAGAAGATAAGATAAGAACACAAAGACACAGTCTATTCACTCGCAAAAATAATTAATAAAAAAATGGTGATTGCGATTGTATGAAGTTATTAAAGCCTTATCCACACACACGCACACACACGCACACATCGGGTAGGGACCTCACGACGTTGAAAACCCGAACTGACAAACAAACAAACGAAAAGCTTAACACGAACATCAACAACACACGCGTATGTTGGGGTGCAACGCGCACCATTGGTAAAATGGGAAAATAAGAAATAATAAACAACTCGAAAGACATCTACATTGGCTAAAGCAAGACGAACGCATGGAGTACAACGAGCCAGGAGTACAACGAGCGAGGGAGACGTATCGTTATCACTTTCTGGCATCTTCAAGCAAGGACTCGGCGCGGCTCCCACACGACACCTCACAGAGGGAAATCTCATTCACCTGAATACCGTTGCGCAGCGGGGAGTTCCGCTGCGACGCCTTGATCCGACGCAGTGCCGGCGGCGCCGAGAGAGAAGCCGCCATCGGTGCGCTCGACGGCGGGGTGGGGGAGGAGGCGCTGGTGATGCCGGGCAATCGTGCGGGGGAGCGAGGGTGATGCAGCCCCTCCCTCCCTCCCGCTGCTGCTGCTCCCTCCATGGGCGCCGTCGCGACGCCGTGCTCGCGCGACTCGGTGGAGCCAGGGACACGCGGACTGAAGGAATAGACTGTCGCACGTGCGGCGGTCTTGTTGTTGTTGTTGCTGACGTTGCCGCCACTGCGTATCCTGGTAGGGGTGGATGCAATTGGGTCCCCGCGTGGTGGCACCGCCGGCCGCGTCACTGCGCCGCTCCGCTCGCTTTTTGAGGGTGCGGGGAGGGCGGCGTGCGGTGAGGTTGTCGTGCTGCCGGGACCGGTGGGGGTCGTTGACGGCTTGTCCTTCTCTGGGATACGAGGGGAAGACGGACGCGGCACGGAGAGGGGCATCAGCCGAGACGACGGGACGAAGTTGTACACGGCCGACGTGTTGTCGCCCCTGACTTCATCCTTCGCTGCCGCGGAGGGAGTGCGCGAGGAGGGCCGCGGCGTCACTTCGGAGCTGTGCGCTGCGAGTATGGCAGAGAGTGGCACCAGCGGGGTGCCAACACTCCCTGGGCGTGGAGAGGAGACCTGGCCACCGGTATTCTCCGACGAAGACTGCTGCTGCTGTGAAGGCCCTCCACCTGTTTCGTACGGCCCTTCTGCAGGAGGCCGGGAGCCCCATCGGACCGAAAAAGGGCGATGGGCGGTGATCGTCCGCGCCGTCTTCGTCTGCGGTGCGTACGCCGTCGCACTCTCCGCCTCCTCAGCGAGCTTTCCCGCTGTCGGCGTCGCCGCGGAAACCGTGTCCGACGTGTCGTCCCCGAAGGAGGGTGTATCCAGATAACCACCGCCTTCCTCCAACGAGCTGGGGATGCGCTGCTTCTGCTGCCGATACTGGTGCTGTCTGGGCGACGGTGGATGCTCCGTCGAGGTCGGTATGTGGGTGACGGAGATGGGGTGGCCGCTGCTGCGGCCTGCCTGGGCGAGGGGCAGCCGCGCCGCATCGAGGCCCTCCAATATGTGTGGCCGCATCGCACTCCCGCATCGGGCGAGGGCGAGCGACGTGGCGGGCATGGCCGAATGAGACGTATTCGATGCCCGGCCGTCGGCGCTGCTGTTGCTGCTTCTCATCGCCGCCTCCTCCTCCACGCGTGGGGTGCCGGTGATGTGCTGCAGTAGTGCGCGTGGGTGTAGGGACGGAGCGGGGCTGCACGACTCGGCGCGCCGTTCTGGTGCTCCGTCCACGGGGCGCCGAAGTGGAGCGAGCCCTTGCAACGGACTGGACGGCTTGCTGTCGCCGTTGTTGTTGCTGCTGTTCCTCCTTCTGCAGCTGAGGAGCGGCACAGCTGTGGCCGGTGCGCCGGTGCTGGAGGTCGCCGAGGCACCACTCCCACACGGTGTTTCTGACAGGGCAACGTGCGACTTCTCGCGGCGACTCTCCTTCCGCGCCAGGTTCACCGTCACGTACCTCAGCGCCTCCTCGACGGTCCATCGCGCTTGCGGAGCGCGGTGCAGCAGGCCGTTAAGCAGCACGCGCCACTTCTCGCCGAACTCATCCGGCACCGTCGGCATGAACGCCGCGTCGATGATGTCCTCCGGGCTGCGGAAGGGCAGCTTGCCCACCAGCAGCGTGAAGAGCGTCACGCCCGTGGCCCACATGTCCACCGGCTTGCCGTACGACTTCGTGCCGTCCCACAGCTCCGGCGCGATGAATAGCGGCGTGCCCTTCGTGCCCAGCACCTGCGGACCGCCGACGCGGTTCCCCGTCACGCTCATCGCCAAGCTCGCCGCCATGCTCGCCGCCATCAGGCTCTCCGTGCGCTGGCGGTAGGACACACCGAAGGTCTCCGCCACGCCGAAGTCGGCGAGGTAGGCGTGGCCGTCGCGGCTCACGAGGATGTTGTCCGGCTTCAGGTCGCGATGCACCACGTCGTGGCGGTGGAGGTACTGCAGGCCCGTCAGCATCTCCCGCGCGTAGCGGACGAGCTGCGCGGGCGGGATCGGGTCGCACACGTAGTCGCTGTTCGCGCGCACCGCCACCTTCGCCACGACACCCTTGTCAACGTACTGCATCACCAGGTACAGCTTGTCCGCGCTGGGGTCGTCGATCACCTCGTACAGCGACACGATGTTGCGGTGCCGCAGCGTCTTCATCACCTCGACCTCACGCATGAAGGCGTTGTACTGCTTCTGCGCCACCGTCAGTCCACCGAGCCGCTTGCGGGTGTCCACGCGGCGCACGTACTTGATCGCCACCAGCCGAGACTCGACCTCGTCGTAGGCCAGCTTCACCTTGCCGCAGGAGCCGCGGCCGAGGGACTTGAGAATGCGGTAGTTGTTGATGTAGCGATCCCCGGTGCTGGCGTGCCGCACGCGATGCAGCGATGCTGTCTGCCGCGCTCGGGTCAACTCCGGCGCACTGCTGGAGAGGTTCAAGGCCGACAAGAAGGAGTCTTGCGGGGAGAAGGATACCTCACCGGGCTGCGTGCCGTGGATCGGTGATGGAGGGGCTTCGCCCCGCTGATCGGACGGCGCATAGGAGGACGTGGGCGAGGTGGCCGTCGTGGTCGTCGTTGCGGTGCTCGCGGTGGCCCTGTTGCGGTCCTGTGTTGTGGCGCAATGCTGCCCATTCTCCCCCCTATCCCAGCTGAGGATGTGCGTCCATGTCTCGAACTCCCCCGTTGCGGCGTTGTCCTCCTCCGAGGCGTTAGCGGTGGTGGACGTGGACGACGTCGTGTGTGCTGTCTCGACGCTGACGAGGGTGTTGATGCTGGCGGCTGTCGTGTTCCCCTTCGGTGCTCGCCGCTGCGCTCGTCGTAGTGGTCGGGGGCTGTGCGTGATGGGTGCCGCCAGAGGACCCCCCTGGTCGACCGTAGTAGTAGTAGCAGTAGTATTGCTGCTGTTCGGCGCTGGAGAAGGCGTTGCGAGGGCGGAAGGCGACGACGGCAGTCGTGCCCCCTTCTCGACGCCGCCGCGCCAGCTCGAGTGTGGGCGGTGCGGCGTATCCGCCACCACGGCCGGGTCCAACGCGAGGGACACCTTGCGGGAAGAGGGGGCACGGCTCAGCGAGCCCTGCCGCCCCAGGCTGCCACGCGACGACTGGAGGATGCTGTTGGCCGACGGCCGCTTCAACAGCGACTTCTCTTCCTTCACGTTCGAATTGGCAGTGCTGCCGTCGCCGTCGCTGATCGACGTGGCGGGGTCGCTGAGAAGCGTGAAGAGCGGCGCGGCCTCCGGAGCGACCGGCCTTGCGGCTTCGTTGGACAGCAGCGACGGCGGCGACACGACGGGCACTTCATCATTGCGGCGAGCTGTGCGCGGCGCATCGGCCGCTGCCGCTGCCGTCTCTGGTGCGTGTGGACTCGATGTGTTGCCGTCGCTACCACCACCGCGCGGGGAGCTCAACGAGGCCCCGTGGGACGGCGTGGAAAGCGGCGTCGATGCCACGGAGGAAAGACTGGAGGAGCTGGTCGAGGTCCCCTGACGGGGCGGCGTAGCCGTGGAGGTCGTGGTGGTGATGACCGAGGAGGGACTGAGCAGCGTGGAGGGCACGAGCTCCGACAGAGTTGCAGTTTGCTGCGGCGGCGTCACCGCACTCGCCTGCGGTCCTGCAGAGGAGGCGAAGGGCGGGTGGAGAGAGGAGGGGGTGTGCGTCTCCTGCTGCTGCGGTAGCCGCGCGCCAGTTTGCACGCACGGCCTGCCCAGCAACGTCTCCGAGGTACTCCTCAACAGGCTGAGCGAGAGGTGACCGCGCCACGGCGGCATCCGCGCCGCGTCCAGACTCAACTCGCGTGGCGGCGGCAGGGTCGCCATCTGCGGCGGTCGCAGACTCATCTCACTGCCAGGCAGAGCCGAAAAGCGGTCCCCCTCGGTGGCGCCACGGTTGGTGAAGAGCGGGTACTGCGAAACGGGCGGCGCGGAAAACGACAGGCCGTCGTGCCGCGGCGACGACGCAAGCGAGTGTTGCTGCCGCTGCTGCCGTTGCTCGTGCTGTACCCCGCTGCTCTCCGCCGCCGTGTTGTCCACCGTGTCGTACGTGGAGCTGCTCATGCTGCTGCAGCTGTACCGGTTGGTGCTGCGCATGCCGACGTTGTGGGCGTAGCGCAGTGCGGCGGAGGTGAAGCTGGCGGCGGCGCGCATCAGACTGCCGGGGGGACTGGTGATGCTGTCGACGTCGAGCAGGTTGGAGAGAGGGGAGAAGAAACCGGTGGAGTGCGAAGCGTTTTCCTTCGTGGTGGAGGAGACGAACCCGGGAGGAGGAGCCGTCATGGTCGGCGCCTCCGCCGCCTCTGCGCCGTCCTCCGCTGTGTCCGCCCCCCTCCCACTCCCTTCGTAGGGTGCCTCCGGCTCCTCTGACGTCGCACGAGCCGCCGCATCGTCGTCGCCCTTCGCCGCTGCTGCTGCGGTGGGTGATGCGTCCTTCTCCTCGTCCTCCTCATCGGCCTCAACCGCCGCCTGTGCCCCCTTCGCCGTGTTCGGCAGCACCGCGCTGACAGACCCGCGGTTGCTGCCGTCGGTGGAGAGAACCCCGCTGACGGTGCGCAGACTGGGCCGATTGCGGACGCCGTGGTCTTGCTGGTCGTTCGGGCTGTTCCGCGTGTTGTCCGCGTGGCCCTCGACCTCCTGAAGTTTAGCACTGTCCCACGTTACGACCCCACCGCGCGTGATGCCACTCGACGTGGCGGTCGGCAGCCCAGTCGCTGTTAGGGCAGCAAACGTGCTCGGCTTACCTTTCACATGTCCGCGGTGTTGGTCGTGTTGGTGGTTGCCATCGCTGCTGCTACAACCACTGCTGCTGCTGTTGCTGCTGGGGCTCGTGTTGTGGCGACTCAACTGCTGATTGCTAATTTTCTTCAGCAGTCGAAGCAGTTCCTCGCGCGGAAGCTCGTCGAGTTGGCTGCTGTTGGCGGACAGCTCCTCCAGATCGACCTCGTGGGTCAAGAGTGCCGGTGGACGTCCTTGGCTCATATTTGATATATATTTTTATTTACGAGATAGTAAGGGCGCACCAGGCAAGGAAAACCCCGAGACACACACACAAGCACAGACACACTCACACACACAAAAGGGGAGTACGCAATCCAAGAAGCTGTGCGTAAAACAAAATAGTTTTCAACCGGAGTGACGCCCTTTCGAGGGCGCGAGAAATCAAAAGGGCCTCTGGTCAGCCGTTTCGCTCCGGCGGACAGCACGCAAGACAGGGAAAAAGAAAGCAGTGATAGGGCAGGCAGAAATAGAAGCGTTCCTCTCCGGTAGAAGAGGAAGGAAAGGGGAGGAGGGAGGGGTGGGTGGGTGGGTAAAAAGCACAGTAACACAATGAAGAGGAGAATTTAGGAAGATATTCTTCGAAAGCGCACCGCCGCTGCCGTTCTCGATCGGGTGGACGTGAGTCCTGTGCGAGCCTTAAGGAATTTTATATACCTGGAACACAAGCGGCCTTCGCACCTATACAAACACACAAAGAGGAAGAGTAAGGAAGAAAGGAGAGAAGTATTGGGTCACGCACAGTAACTCTTACATATAAGTACGTGTGGCACCCCACGGAAGAGAAGTCAAACGCGGAGTTAACCTATATATAAAAAGGAAATCTATTCGCACTAGTGAAGGAGAAAAGAAGAAGATAGCGGTGATCGCCAAGAGAGACCGCCAAAAGCAAGGGAGAAAAAGTATTCAATTAAGAAAAGAAAAAGAAAAAACCACAATAGTAGTTTCGTTCTGCTCTGGACGTTCAGTTTTTTTTTAATTTATTTTTAACGCTGTGAAGCGAAGCGGGTGTGCGGCTTCCCCACAGAAGGTTTACTGGCGCGAGAACAAGTCGGTGCGAATAAAATGAGGCGTAGCGTGTCTGCCAGAGAGCGGCCAACGTGCGTAGGAGACTCACCTACAAGGGTAAAAGAGGAGTCGGCAACACTGCCTGATTCGACAACAGCGACAACGACATCAAATGTTGATGATGTGAGGAGTAAGCGACAGGTGCGTCAAGAGAAAAGAACAGGCAGCGGAGGAGAGAGGAATGTGCGTCAAGTTGCAGACCGCCAAACCGGGCTGGCGAGAAGTCCTCATCGCAAGCGACAGACAAAAGAGAAAGCAAACGCTGAAACGAGCTTTGCCGTGTTGGAGGTACCTTTTTTTGTTAGGGAACCTTTTAACGAGTTGATGGCGCGGCGGAGAACACCCTTGCCGCGTGAAGAGGTGCACATGCTGCTCTTGTGGTGAATGCAGCCGTTGGGTACGCAGTTGACCACGTGCTAGGCGAGGTGGAAGTCACACCAGCAGCGATGCGAAGAAACATCTGCCAGCCTACCTGCGTAAGTAGGCGGTCATGTGGCCTGTCGATGAATCCGTATATTACCGCTACGTCTCCATATCATCTTTTTTTCTTTTGAAGCTTTTTCCTTTAAACATAGAAGGTGTCCCATCACAAATTAGTATTTATAACAGTAATAACAACAATAAAACCATCGAAGAAGAAGAGAAAAAGAAGAGGGCAACATATAACGTCTCTGTGCGTTTTTACGGGCAGATGGGTCGGTGCTGTCCACTCCTTCAGCACACACGTCAACTTCATGCTCTTAATAAAAAAAAGGGAGAGGCACCACACATGCAAGCACACAGAGAGAAGAAGAAGAAGCCATAATCGAAGATGAGATATACTTAGATCCAACAGAAAGATAAATAATCTGAGAAGACGGTAGAAATCAAAACAAAGCAAACAAACATCTTCTACGAGAAACACGATGGAGGAAAAGCATGAGAAAAACCAATTACGGAAAGTGAATGACCATCCTCCTTTGCTAGCGATAAAGACAGAGCAATCACGCTGATATGCATACAGGCTCCGCTAGGTGACGCAGCGGCGAGAAAACAACAACTTGACAGCATCCACAAAACAATAGTAAAAATAAAAGGCCAAATAGAACTAATAATGATGATAAAGATGTATTTCATTCACAAAACTCGTAAGCAAGCGAAAGGAAAAAGAAAATTTGCTGAGCAAGACAGTTTGTGGCGTTCATAGAAGCAACGTGTCGCACTGAGAAAGACGAACATTACGCAATGCGATCCTCATAAGTATCGCGTTTCTTTCATATAAATGCGCTCAATACATGTTTCAAAAATACTGATAATAAACAAATACAAAAAAAGACGGTGGGGAGAAGAAAGATCGAGGTGCCTTAGTCGCGCTCTCTCACACGCAGCGAGCATCGAATGCGCGATGTTATACGGGAGCGCCAGCTTATAGAAGAAGAAGAAGTTTATTGATTCAACTTCCTCACATATTTCTTTTTTTCCTTTCAGCGTCTTCCTTGCTTTCGAGTGCGCCACTCCCTTCGCTGGCCGGGCAACGCAAATCCACACACACACACACACAGCTGTGCGCAAAAAGGGGAAAAAGTAAAAGCGCAAGAGCAGCAGCCGACTCTTCTCAGAGACCTTCTTGCACTTGGAAAGGCAAGCACAATAATAACAAGGGGGGACGAGAGGGAAAACACGAAGGGAGAATAGGCCAAAAGAACCCGTTGGAGGCGAAGGGTCAGCAACACATAACACACATAAAGGTAGAAGGAATAAAACGGAGGGAAAGACTCGCATGTGCGATTCGGCTGAGATGGGTGGCGGGTGGAAGAACACCATAGAGACGAGAGATGTTACACTCTCCGAGCGCTCCTTTCTAAAAAAGCTTATTGGCACCTTTGGCATTTCCAGAAGAGCACCTCTTCGCCACACCACGTCTTTCTTCCGATTTGTCTTCGCGCAGGGCAGCATTTATAATCTGCTTTCGCAAAGGGAGTGGGAAAAAAAACGATGTAGAGATTATTTTTTTGAAGAGCTTCGCTTTCCGATGCCGTGCTTCAGGTAGCTGCAGCGCGATCAGTACATTACAGACGTTCTCGGCAGCGGCGGTGGAGGCCGGTGTGCGTGGGCGTGACAGTTTAGGTGGTGAGAAGTGCTTTTGAATAGCCCTAATCATCGACTCCAGTTCGGCGGCGAAGGGGTGGGGTGGTGGTTAAAACAAGGAAGCAAACAACAGAAGAACCATTTCTTTGGTTGCTGCTGCGAAAAGCGAAAGGCAGAAGCAAAGCAAGAAGAATATTTATTGAAGTTCTACACGGCGAATTCCACCAGTTGCTTTCTCTTTCTTTTTCTTAAAGAGAGCGAGCGTTGTCTTCTTCGCGACGTCTGCGTGGTCGTGTGTGCACACACACACACAAGGAGCGCAAAAGTGCTGCAGTGAACACGCCCACGTCGGCTACTGAAGTGTCACCTGCGAAGGAGCCCTAGCGAGCCTTCCTCAGCGATGCAAAGCGGGAAAACAAACAAACAAAAAACGCTGTTGTGTGTTCTTAACGTCAAAGGTGTCTCGACGGGATCGCTGAACATACGGACGTGATGAGGGAACATGCGTTGAAAGCAGCTGGGATGTAACTTGCAGGTGCTGAGCGAAAAGCGATAGGATAGAAGAGAGAACAGAAGGAAAAGAAGAGGAAGGGGAGGGGGTGGGGGGTAGAAGGGAGGAGCAAAAATACAACAACGAATAGGCGAGAACACCAGCGTCATCGCCGACAAAACAAGAGAAGAGCTGTTTTTGATAGAACAAATACAAGGAGGAGGAAAATGGTATTGATATGCGTTGTCGGTGCGCCTCCACAGCGCTCACGCATGCGGTATAGAAGCGGAGCAACATATATTGAAAAAAAAAAAGGAGTCGTTACATACGCGCATCAGCGCCTCTACATCCTCGCTTCGATTGAGCGGGCGATGTCGGGAAAAGCGGAAAACAAGCAACGAGAAAACGCGCTTACCCGAAAAAGAAAAGGAAGCACAATCTCAAGAGAGATGCGAGCGGGTACGTACCGCCACGCACCGGAAAAGACATTACCGTCAAGGCAGTGTTCGATCTTCAAGTCCACGATGAAGTTTTCCCCCTTCGGTCTGTAGGGAAGGGGAGAGAAAAGCCCTTTGAAAAAAAAAAAAAATACATCAAATACATACGCATCTCTTTTTATGCATTTTATAATTTGCGAAGTAAAACTGGGGTCGAGTGTGCAACGCATCACACGAGCAGGGAGCGGCGGAGATGAACGAGGGAGAGTTGAGAGCGCTGTCATTGGAGACGAGACCACAGGGGTTACCGTTCGCTGCGCGTAAATGGGCCGAGCGATGGCGAGGAGGGGGGGGGGGGAGACAGAAAAGTCGGCGCTTGCGTGCTGCGGGAGATTCCCCCATCAAATAGAGGCCGAAAAAAAGGGACTTCCATTTCTTTGCGGCCGAAAATGAAGAGGGAAGCCCCGTTGCACCAACGTGCGAGCCGATGGGAATCGACAACACCAAAACCACAGCAGCGGATGAAGACTTGTGAAACGAAACAGGCAATGCATCGTGTTGGCGCTGCAACGCAGCACATGGTGAGACACGAATGTGCCAAAGGCGAAGGAGGGGAAGACTTATCAACTATACATATCGTTATCGTGGAAAGAAGACCCGATCCACCCACGTGACTTTCATCTCGTGGGGCGAGACAACGTGACGGACATGAATGCCGGTGCGAAGCGGGTTCGATTCAACTAACTGCACTGGAGGTGATGTCCCTATCCAAGAGAAAAACATAAGAATAATAATAACAATAATAGTATTTGCAACGCACCAGAAATAGACAGCTTCCTTCACCCAGGAAAAGAGAGTTACTTCATTTCAGTACAACACGTATCTCGCGCGACGGGGGTGTGTAAATCTCCTTCTAGAACAACACAAGAACAATAATAGTCAAAATTCAAAAAGAAAAAGAAATCAGAGGAATCGATATACACAAACATATACAAATGTATATATAACAAAGAGTATCCCCGCTGACTGCGAAGAAGAGGCAATCAGAAAACATGAAAGGAGGAAAGCTATTCCAATATATATATATATATATATATATATATATATATAGTAAAGAC